GCCTCTCTGCCTACTTGTGATCTCTGTCTGTCAAATAAATAAATAAATAAATAAAATCTTTTTTTTTTTTTTAAGATTTTATTTATTTATTTATTTGACAGACAGAGATCACAAGTAGGCAGAGAGGCAGCAGAGAGAGAGGAAGAGAAGCAGGCTCCCTGTGGAGCAAAGGGCCCGATGCGGGGCTCGATCCCAGGACCCTGGGATCATGACCCGAGCTGAAAGCAGAGGCTTAACCCTCTGAGCCACCCAGGCACCCCAATAAGTGATCTTTAAAACATGATTTCACTGGATGTAGAATTACCTCTGAGACACTCGTTGCCCAGCAGAATGCAAAGGGAGGCCAAAGGCCCGTGGGTGTTCAGGGTCATTGCTGATTGCGCTCAGGCTTTAGGAGGTGGCCCCAGCGACCAGCCAGTCGGGATCCTGGGTTGGGGGTGTTGCTCAGAGCCGGGGCAGGGGGCTGGCGGCAGAGCCATCCAAGCCGGTGACCTCAGGGGTTCCCGCTCTGGCATCTTCTTACTTCCAAAGGCAAAATAAAGTCAAGGAAAGGTCTGTGCATTCGATACAAAGAATATGCCCTCAGGTTATTCTGACTCTAGTTTGTGAATTGTGGTTACAAGATCTGGTTTTGCCCCATGAGGGCAAAACACCCCTCGCTTGTCATCCTGCCAGAAACGGGCCCTTCCCCGTGAGCCACTTAGATGCTCCTTCACTCATTCATTCAACAAACACTTTCCACCTGCTGGAGAGACAGCAGGGGGCAGGGCAGGGACCCCTGCTCTCTGGCAGACGGAAATCCAGGACAGAAAGGCTCCCTGGAGGAAGGGGCCAGTCCTCATCCTAAGGTCCGGACCTCATCCTAAGGACACAGAGGGGCTCCTGACTCAAAGATGGGGTGTCGGGAAGAACACTACAGCAGACAAGCCTGTTTGCTGTCTCCAGAGGATGGGGCTCTCCCACCTTCTAGAAGCCCGTCTGTTTTCCTCAGCTCCCAGCTGTGCCCTGCTGAACCCGGGGTCCAGGGGCATGAGAGCTGACTGGCCACCTCCCCACTGGGAAGTGCCCCCTGGGGCGGCAGTACCCCACTGACCCCCAGCCGGCACTCCTGGCCCAGGCCCCACCCACAGCCGCCCGCCGCCCTCCCAGGCAGCTTCCCCAGGAAGGGGGAAATGCCCCTGCGCCCTGCCCCTCTGATTGTGGGAAAGGAGGAGTGGGGGCCAAAGGCAGGATGGGTCTCACACAGGCCATTAACTGCTCCCCCCAGGGAGGAGCCCGTGTCCCCACCAGAACCATCCCAGTGTTGCGGCAAGGAGACACCTGGGTAGACGGGGAGACCAACCCCGCCCTCCTCCAGTCAAAGCCAAGTCTGCAGACTCTGAGGAACAGAGGCCAGGATATGGGGTGTGTGGAGGGCAGGGGGAGGGAGCAGCCTACCAGCTGGGAGGAGGGGACGAAGCTGTCCTGGCCAGGCCGCCCAGCTCAAGGTCCATCCATGCTGCTCCACGCCCTCAGCTGTGAGAAGTCCCAGGACACGAGAGGCCTGCGGGAGTGTCTGTGCCTCAGCAGGCGCAGCACCACACCCGAATGTCCACCCAGTGAGTGCCGGCGACCTGGGACCCAGAAGCAACAGTGACCCTGAGAACATCCACGACCAGGGACTCACGCTCAGTGGGGACAGATGTGTTGGGAGCACCAGAATGTCACTGCCTGGAGGGGCCCTGAGAGCCAGCAAGCACTCCAAAGGAGGGGGCGGTTGGGGGGAGATGCAGAGGCTCTCCTCGTGGGCTCTTAAGGCTCAGGCTGCAGCCAGAAGAGGGGAGAGCAACCTGGGTCCAGGATGTCAGGAGCCGGGTGTGGGGTGATGACGACAGGCTTCCCTCACCAAGAGCAAAGAGCCGGACTGCCCAGACAGACCTCCCAGGAGAAAACCTTTGCCCCCTCTCTCTGCTGGCTCTGGGGAACATTTTGTTTGTTTTTTTTCGTTTAGTTCCCAGGACACTGGGGCCAAATTTGACCCTTTGTCTGCGGCAATTCTTCCTGAGCATGTGCTTCTCTGGAATATGTCCGGACTGAGCTGATGGACGCACCTGCTGGTCTCCCTCTTCCTTTCTAAGCGAGGACTGTGAGCGGCCCCGGGGGCTCCCGAACTGTCCAGCGTGTGGGGTGGGGTGTTCCTGGCTTCGTTACTGAACGGGGCGGGGGGGCGGTTTCAAGAAAATGGGGATGTATGTGGGCTGCATTTCCTGCCTCCAGCCCCACTTAAAATGAAAACAGCTGGATTAAATCCTGAGTAAACAGAGGCAGATGGCGGAGCCTGCCAGCCAAGCACATTTCCAAAGATAAATACAGCCAGACCGGAGGTGAAGCGTGCAGGGTAGGTTTGACTCAGTGACAACTATCGCGCCCAGGGAAAGAACGGGGCGGCGGTGGCGGGGGCCGGGGGGCGCCGAGCCATACTCGGGTTTGTGCAGAGTGATGGCATTGAGCAGGGAGAATGAGAGGCCGGAGGGGTGAGCAGGGCTTGGCAGTCAGGGAAGCAGAAATTTGCAAAAAGCAGGAAGGGCCCCCAAAACACATTTGCCATCATAGTTGGCAAAAAGCAGGGCGAATGAGGGCAAGGAAACTCTGAGCTTTGCTCAAGGATCCCACGCCTCATGTAAGTGCCCCCCGGTCCACACTCCCACCCGGTGTTAGGGAAACCCTGTTTGCTTCTCAAACAGTAACGCAGAGAAGCTGCTAACCAGGAACCTTGAATCCCTTATAATTTAGCTACAGTTTCTCAAAAGGCCCAGAGGGAAAAAAGAATGACATTTCTTCTGGTTTGAAGATTCTCTGATCTAAGAGCTCCAACTGGTATGTGCTTTGGTAAAGAAACAAGCTGTTCTAACAGTTTCATTTCTTAGGACAGTGCTAGAAACCAGAGAACATGGAAACTGAAACGGTGAAATTCGGATGCACTCCCCCTACTTGCTGGCCTGACGCTGGTAGATGATCCGTGTTTTATGTTAAGTGCGGGACTAAAATATGTGGTTAAAAATGACCACATTTAAAAACAGGGGCAGGCACGCCTAGGGGCCTCCGTCAGTGAAGCGTCTGCCTTTGGCTCAGGTCATGACCCAGGGGTCCTCAGCTCCCTGCTCAGCGGGGCGTCTGCCCCTCCCCTGCTCGCTCTCGCCTTCGCTTTCTCTCTCTCAAACGAACAAATAAAATCTTAAAAATAAGAAATAAAAACGGAGCAAGAGGAGCGGTTTGGTCCCTGTGAGACCACCTGGGTTTGCTCCCGGGCACTTACCACCCCACGGGGGCTGGGACACGGGCCCTGCCCACCGGTGTTCCCAGAAATGAGCATCCTGGGTTGTCTCAGGCAGGCACCTTAAGAGAGTCTAGGGCCATCCTGGGGATGTGGCTTGAGCTGTGAGAAAGGGTGTCAGTGTTTGTTCAAGTAGAACAGGCCAAGGTTGAGGCCATGGTGAAGAGGGGTTCCGAGGAGGTGGGGTGGGGTCTGCTCAAGGGGAGAGGCTTTGGCAGCCTGGGGAGGCTTGGGGACAGGAACCCCCAAGCTTCCTCCTGGTCACCTTCTCACAGAGCCCAAGAGCACCAGGGTCAGACTCCAGACTCCAGGAGAGGGGGTGGGGGAGGGGGTCTTTCTCTGCAGGCAAGAGAGCTGGCAGCTGATAACAGCAATTCCAAGTCAGCGGCAGCTGCCCCCAAGCAGCCAGGAGGCTGGAAGCAAGCCTTGGAGGTGACCAGGGTCAAGGCTACCTTGAGCACTGGAGCCAGACAGTGACCCCACCTCCTGTGGGTAAGAGGCCGATTTCCGGCTTCTCCCCATCAGGCACCCCTCTATCCAGCCAGAGTGGAAGCCTGCCGGGGCCTCAGGACTCCACTCCGACTTATCCTCATCTGCCCAGCCTCACTTCCACGCCCCTGCCTCCAGGCAATCTTCCTTGCTTTACCACACATTCCTTCAAACTCCTGTTACTGTGACTTCACCCCCACTTACTGGCAAGACTCCTAAAGGCAGTAGTATTTTTCTCAACATAATTGCCTATCTAGGTCCAACACAAAGTATATGTCCGGGAAACACTGGTCAATGAACTGCTAGCAGCTTTGGCTACCTACTTCATCACGTGGCAGTATCTCAGTCAGAAAACTGGGGCTGCTTTTTATCCACCAAATGTCCAAAAGTGAGGGAAGAGAACAGAAAACGGACCCAACACGTCCTAATGGAGCCCTTCATATCAGTGGGCTCTTAATACATTGTATTAAGACAACAGTGTAGCCATCTGAGGAAAGATCAGCTTGGAATTTCTACCTCATATTCTATAAACACTGAGTAGATGGATGGCTTGTTAATGGAAATGACCAGAAAGCACTAGAACATACCGGCTAACTGTCTAGAAGGCATTAGAAAAAACATCGATAGATTTTCCTACACAGAACAAAATAGTACATGACCAAACACCATTGAGGAATATAAAAGGTCGGTGACAAACTAGGAAATATGTTTGTAGTAATGCTACAGCAGATCAAATGCTAGTATAGAAGGAGCTCTTAGGATCACCTTTTTTTAAAGATTTTATTTAGGGGCACCTGGGGGGCTCGGTCGTTAAGCGTCTGCCTTCAGCTGAGGTCATGATCCTGGGGTCCTGGGATCGAGTCCTGCATCGGGCTCCCTGCTCCGTGGGGGTTCTGTTTCTCCCCCTGCCTCTGCTTGCCTCTCTGCCTACTTGTGCGCACTTTCTCTCTCTCGAATAAATAAATAAAATCTTAAACAAGACAAAGGAAGTAATCCAACAGAAAAATGGACAAACGACATGAACCAGAGATGACAAAAAACAAAAAAAAATCCCTTTAACATTTGAGTAAAACGCTCAACCTCACACAGAATGGGGGAAAGGCAAATTAAACCAGGACATCCTACCTGGGCGACTCTCTCCCTGCCTGTTGCTGGTTCTCCTGGGGTAGCCTCAAGGATTGGGGTAACAGTTACCCGCTCTCTGCTTCCATCTCTTTACCTCTGAAATGGCAAGACTAACAGCATCTGCCTGAAGGGGCTGTTGCCCGTGCCCTCGTGGAGCAGCAGAGCTGTGCTGCGGGCAGGTAGAGCTCCTGTCTCAGACCACGCTTCCTCCTGTCCTCCAAGGCTTCCCTGAGTCGTCGGCGCTCAGCTGGTGTCCCTGGCAGTCATGGCTTGTTCAGACCCTAACCAAACCACAGTACAGGATTTGGAGCAGGGCGCTAGCAGGATATCCCCTTTTCTGGGGCTTCCCGGAATACTGGCTGGGAGGCACAAAGACACACAGAGCTCCCCTTGACTCCAGCCACAGCCTCCCCACCCTCAGGGGCAAGCTGACAGCACTGCCCAAGGCCTGGAAGGAGTCCGGGCACCCAGCTGGCCCCAGCCAGGACAGCGGGGAGGATGTCCCCTGCAGGGGCTCCCCACACCCACTGTGGCCTCCCGGGGCTCCTTTCTGGAAAGGAAGTCAGCAAGTCTTAGAGGCAGAGGCTGGTGTGGGAGAGTTAGGTCTGAGAGGCCCCACCCCTTCCACCGTGGCCCCACTTTCTGCCCTGCTCAGAAACCGACCGCATCCGTGCTGTGGGCACCCCTGGGTCTTGGGGTGCTTCCGACCCTACTCCCGCAGAGCAGACCAGCCCCAGCCTCTATGTCCTCTGCTCTCTGAGGTTGGCAGAATGGTGGCCTCAAGATGTCCCCATCCTAATGCCCATGGATTTGACACCTCGTCTGACAACAGGAACTTTGCAGCCATGATTGACTTTGAGGTGAGAGGTGATCCCGGGTTACCTTGGGAGCCCCCGTGTTATCACGGGTTTTCTGTAAGAAGGAGGTAGGGGTCAGAGGGACACGCGAAGATGCCGCCGGTCATGAAGGTGGGGGAGGGGCTGCGGGCCGAGGATGCTGCGCCCCAAGAAGCTACAAAAGTCAGGAAACAGATTCTCCCCCGGAACCTCCAGAAGGAACGCATCCCTGGTGACCCCTTGACCTTAGGGCCCCTGACCTCCAGAGCTGCCAGATAACAGGTCCGTGTGGTTCTGAGCCAAGCCGCGCGTGGTCACTGTCACAGCAGTGCCTGCGCCCCCCGGGGCATGGGCACACAGGGAGTCCCAGAAAGGAGACGCTCGAGGGCTTCGAGCCTGTCCCGCGCGAGCGGGGGGCGGGTCGGGAGGAGGACGGCCTGGGCCACCCCCCACTCGGTGCCGCGCGGGCGCTGGCCCTGGTGGCCCCCGGGGATCCCCTGCGCTCCTGGGCAGCGGGCCGTGTGCTGGCGGGCGCCGCGGCCTGGCGGGCCGAGACCCAGCCTCGCTGCCCAGCGGGACGGACGGTCCCGGAGCACGACGTGGCGGCGGCCGGCGGCGGGGTTGGCGGACCCCGGGCCGGGGGGCGGGAGAAGCGCGGAGGGCGGCGCTGGGCCCCTCTGCTCCGCTAGGGGGCGTCGGAGCGGCGGCGGCCCCCCGCTGTTCGCGGTCGGGACCCCGCGGTTAGAGCGCGCGGCGGTGCGGGCGCAGGGACAGCCCCGCCGGCGCCCCGGCCTGCGCCTCCGCCTGCGCCCGGCTCCCGCGCGCTCTTGCGGGGCGCGGCACGGCGAGGTCGCCTTCCCGCCGCAGCTCCCGGCCCCCGCCTTCTTCCCTGGGGCCGGTCTCCGGGGCCTCCGCCACCAGCGCAGACGCGGCCCTCCACACCGCAGTCCCCGCGGCCGCGCCCTTCGAGTGGAAGTCGCCGTCCCGTCGCGGCACGTTGTGTGAAAACGGGCCCCTTCCCAAGCGCAGCGCCCCAGGGAGTGCGGACCCGCCCCTGCGTCGGCCCCTGGAGCCGAGGGGGCGGGGCGCGCGTCTGGTTCGAGGAAACAGTACAGCAAACCCAAGCGCATTTATGGGAACTTCCCGGTTCAGGACTGCACTTTGGACTCGGGCGCGGCAACGTCTCGGGTCTGAGTAGCTCCTGGTCCTCCAGCGCATCACCCCCTGGGCAGCACGGCTACGTGGGGGGGATAGGGATGCAGGGCTGTCCTGAGGCTACCGCACAAAGGACCACGCACAGGGGCCTTAAATGGCAGAGACATATTCCCTCTCAGTCCTGGAGGCCCAAAGTCCAAAGTCCAGGTCAGAAGGGGAGGCTCCTCTGAAAGCTGTCAGTGAGGACCCTGGGCCTTGGCGGCAACGTCCCAGCCATGGCAGGGGCGCTCTCCTTGTCCCCGACGGACACCAGTCACCCTAACGACCTCATCTGACCTTGACCTCATCTGCGAACCCCGTTTCCAAAGAAGGTCCCAGTCACAGGTGCCAGACCTCAGGGCTTGACCACGTCTTTTGGGGGACACAACTCAGCCTCTGTCCCCAGGAAGCCCAGAGCCTGGCTGTGCTGTTTCCATGGCTGCCTGAGGGCTCTCCTCCCTTGGCCTGAGCTCCTCCATCCGTCCCCCCTCCCAGGTAGTGTGGGGACTAGAAGGAGCATAGAAGGAGAAACAACACCATCTACAAAGCCAGGATGGGCAAATCCGGCCTTCACTCCCCTGAACAGCACACTGACCCTGTCCCTGACCCCTAACCCCGCCCCACCTGCATCCTCCTGGCCTCGCTCCTTGACCACCAGCCAGAGCCTTCGATGCTGGTGGCCCCCACCCCGGCTGACACACACGGTGGCTACCTGCTCCGTACTCGGACCTTCCTGCTGCCCCTGAGGGCCACCCTCTTCTCACTGGCAGCCTGTGGGCTCTGGTGAGACCCAGCCCACGGCCCAGCCGCTTTTCTGCAGGACAGGGCGCTGTGACAAGTTCCCCTCTCAGCTACAGGACCAATGGAATAGCCATGTACGCCTGGAGGTGCCGTGGGGGCTGGTGAGATGGACGCCCATCCATCCAGATGCACGCTCCTTCACCCCGGGACCTGCAAGCTCCGGACACTTGTCCTGCAGACGGGGAGACTGGGGAGCAGGGAGGTAGCAGCGGTGACCCCAGGTATACACAGCGTGGGGACGTGGGGCAGAGCCAAGGGTGCATTGCCACCTCAGCGCCTCTCCTGGAACGGAGGGCAAACACCCCACAAACTAGGGGTCCTAACGCTGCGGCAGGTACACCCCCAGTACTGACACGGCCACCTGCACACGTGGCCACGAAGGGCCGGCTGTCAGGGGGAGCTGTGAGGCAGGCTCCTCGCGGGAACCACCCTGAGCCCAGGACTGGCCAGGACGCCCCCACACAGGGCCCCAGGCCTCCGGGAGTGGTCACAGGGTGTTGAGTGGGAAAGTACCCTGGAGGCAAACTCTCCAGGAAGGCCCCCTCTGCGGACTTTCCCCCCCGGGCTCCCAGGGGAGAGTTGGGGTACAGATTCCTGCCCAGGCTCCGCGGGTCCAAGAACCTGGTGGAGGGACGTTGCGGGGGCTTCTGCAGGGAGAGACACCTTGTCCCTTAGATGCAGGTGCAAATACACACACAGGTGCGAGGCCCTTGAGATGAACCCCACTCAGTCCGTGTGCACGGACATGCGTGTCTTACTATGCAGCACGAGCCGCATCGGTCCCGCTGCTGGCACTCATGCTGTCCCTGAACTGCACCTCAACGCAGCACACATATGACACCTTCCGTCCACCTTCTCTGCCCGGCC